TGGAAAGATGAACTACCATTGATTTTATTAGGTTTAAGAAGTGCAGTAAAGGAAGATTTAAATTGTTCTTCCGCTGAACTAGTCTATGGACAATCCTTAAGATTACCAGGAGATTTTTTTGTAGACAGTAGTGAAAGTTTTGATACTGATTCATTCTTAATTAAATTACAAGAACATTTCGATAATATAAAACCCACTAAAATATATAGACACGGTACAAAGAAATTTTTCATTTCACCAGATTTGATGGAAAATGATTTCGTTTTTGTTAAAGTACAAGGTATCAAACCTTCATTAACTCCTCCTTTTGAAGGACCGTACAAAGTCATTAGTAGAAATGATAAAGTTTTTAAGATTTTAATTAATGGCAAAGAATCATTAATTAACATAGATAGGTTGAAGCCAGCCTTTTTATTAACAGAACAAGATGTTCAAAATGTTTTTCCAAAACCGAAGAAAAAGGTTTTTTTTTGTTTTAAACCCAATAAGTTATAACTAAACCATTATTTTTATATGGTTGGTTTCTTTTTCTTTTTTTTTGAGCAGGGAGGTTATGTGGCGACATCATAGCACCACATAGTCTTACCTTTAGTTTTGACTTTTACGTCAATTTATTTTAAGGTTTCTTAGTCAGTTTTTATTTGAGGTTGGTCAAGTATCAATGTCAGATGGTACCATTATAATATCACATATATTATGATCTTGGTAGATAGCTGCGTACACTTGCACCCTACCTATCCGATGGATGGTAACCATGGAAAAAGGAAACAAAAAATTGATTGATTACAGATTTCAAAAAAAAAAGACAAGATAAGACGTAACTCGACACAACATTTTTCATATAATGTTTTTTTTATATTTTAAAATAAAATTATAATAATAATTACTGAAATGGTCCAACTTAGGTGGTTCAGGAATTGATTGCTTTTAAACTAATTGTTTTTAATTAAAAACGTATGGTAGAAAAGGGCCTATTTTTAGACCTTTTCCTTTGTAAGAATAAAATACAAATTCAATAAATTTTCTAAAAATGAAACCTTGAACTACGTAAGTTTCTATCAAATGGTTCAATCGGAAAATACGAAAAGGCTCAGACCTCCGAAATAGTTATAAATGAAAATTGGGTTGCATTTTATGTGTAATCAATTATTAAAAAAAAATTGCACTAAAAATGGCGTCCTCACTTTCAAAAAATAATCAATAATTCGTTCATCTCTGCTTCCATAGATGGATCGAAAATATATAACATTTCGTTTAAGCTTTTACAGCATAAATACGAATTTAAATTTGATATCATCAAATGTTTTCTTTTTTTAAATATATTGTAGTATTTAAAAAAAAAATACACTAAAGCCAGTTAATAAAATGACAAAAAGAATATAGAATGTGTGATATTAATTTACAGTCAAGCAATGGTCGCCTGGTTGAATTTGGCTACGTTGTTGAGTGATGAATGATGATATTGCGAAACAATTAGATGAGTAGCTGGGTTTAGATATGAGGGTTTTAAAAATAAGTTAAATTTTAATAATAAATACGATGTACTTTTTTAATTTTTGAATATTTTAACTTTAAAGTAGTGTATATTACAGTATCGAAAATAAATAGAGTTTATAAAAAATGTAGAAATTGTCAATTAATTCATACAGTGTTTTAATAAACATATAAAGTAAACTTTTTGTACTTAAAATGAGAGCTTTTTAATATGCGTATTATCAATACTGTTTTAACTTGTTTAAAATAATTTTTGCTTCGTTGCAATAACATGATTCTGATTTGCTAAAAAAATTAAAAACCTAAGCTAATTTGGCAAATATGCTTGAATTTGAACAATGTGAAAATAATTTTAGTTTGACTAATTTATGAAATAGAGGTAAATTAAAAAAATGGAAAATATTATTTTTTATCATGGAGGTCATATTTTGGTATTTAGGCATAACTTTTAATTCTAAACAAGCTTTCTTAATAATATTTTGCTGAACTTTCTGAAAAATACTTTACTCTTGTATAAATTTATTTTTTACCTACCGTATAAAATGTTTGACATGCAACGATTTTAAGTGCACTTTAAATAATAATCGCAGAGGTTCCTACCAACTTTTGGCAATATTAGTTTTTTTGTTGTGCAATTAATTTAAAAAAAAAATCCCATATGTTTCACACTTCAATGACCACACTGTATGCATATAGAAAATTATACTACTAGGTAGCAATAACCGCAAGTAGATATATTGAATATATAATAAAAAAAATACATATTCTCTAAGTCGATAATATAAAACTTATACACTTACCTGAAACCTCAAAATACATCACTTTATGAAAAGTGATCGAGTGATCTACACTATTACTATACTAAACTATATACTATAAAAAAACTTTAAAAATCTCACAGAAAGAACTTTCGATAATACGGAAAAATTGTTTATTATCCACCACTCAATATGAAATAGAAATATTCAAGATCCAAATCGTTTTTTTATACAACTCCCCCTACTACCTTTCAAAGTAATGGAAATAAAACAAAATATTAAAAATCTAATATTTTGATACTGTGATAATCATAATTATTTTTTCCAATGAGAATGAAACTCTTTTTTTAGAATGCAGGTAGTCAAAAATAAATTATTTTTATTTCTTAATACTTTAATAAAATTTACAACCTTAATCTATGAACATTATGAATTTTAAAATCAAATAACTATTTCTTTGATCCTCTAAGTCTTATAATGAGTATTATAATAATAAATTGTCTAGACTTAGGTATTTAATACCTACTTACGGAAAGTGAAATCATTTTAATTTAATCCCAGTATTTTTTAAATTTGTATCTTATATTTCTTATATTGTAAAACAATGAAAATAAGAGCAATTTTTTTTCTATCTTATGGAGTTAATTTTTTTTTTAAAATCAATATAACAGGTAAATATTTATTTCCACAGGTGTCAACGATATACTCCATCAAATACTATGGGATTTAAACCCGAATCGCCGAATCCAAAGACCCAAGCTCTGCCCATTCCTTTATTAATGGTATTAATTTATATACATAATTTTTATAAATCTTAATATTTCGTTTTCAGCTAAAGCAAAAATTGGTCATTTAATTATAGGTGATTATAAGTGTTCTCCGTATTTTAAAAAATAAAATTTATCTTTTTTTTTAAAACATGGATCTAGCAATTAGTGTGTAGGTATATAGAATTAATAAATACAAATAAAAACTCGATTTTAAAAAAACTTAAAAATAAATAATTTAATAGGTAATTACTTATTGCGGGGGGTGGGTTGGCTCAGTGGTTAGAGTCATGACTTTGAGATCGGAAGGTCTTAGGTTTGAATCCCACCGTTGGCCGGGATTTTTTTATTTAATTTAATTATTTAAAATTAATTCTGATGCCTTGGTAGGATTCCCCACTCGACCATTCACTGTTGGGTTCTAATTAACAGTGCTGTTCCTAAAGTGGCGCTGGGAAACAGTAACAAAGCCTACACAGAACACGATGCTAATGGCCGTAGTAGTCGACGCCGATGACACCAAATTAAAAAAAAAATTACTTATTGCTTTGTAAATACTATTTAAATCAAATAAATAATATGACTATATTATTTTTTTGGTACTAAAATATTGATCTTCCCTTGTTTCCGTATCCACATAAAAATAATTCTACGCTAAGAACTCCGTGAGTAGCAAATAACAAATTCAACGAATCGATAATTCATTTTGGCGAGTAGATTATTTTACAGTACAAAATTTGATCGTAAATCCTTTGTCTGTCCTTAAGACTTCGATGGCTGATTGCAGACCCAATATAGGCTATTTTTATTATTACGGCAGTTTAGTGGCAAATAAACTTCTAGTGTGAGGAAAATTATACTTTAATCGTTACAATGACGATTATAATGGAATTAATCATTGAAACGTTGACAACTTAAACATTTTTCCTTAAGATAGACCATTATTTTACCACAAACTTATTATTTTTGATCAATCGATTATTTTAAATAAATCTATTTTCTCTCTATATTTCCTTTAAAATCGATTATTCCATTATCTCTGAAAAAACGAAAATAATTTATTTTAAATATATTATTTAAGACCTAAGGTTCAAAAAATGTCACTCTCATTTGATCGCAAATAAGTTGAACTTTAAAATTTTAAGTAGGTCATTCTAATATTCTTGTAAAAATAAAATTTCGCTAGCAACTATGCTTCTTTACTTTTTATTTACTCACCAAAATGAGCTAAAAAACCACCTTTAGTAAATATTTTTTCAAAACTACTTTTAAAAAACAAAATTTCGTTAGCAATACTGCCTATTTACTTTATTTACTTTATTTACATACAATCTTAGGAATAGTGAAAAAATTCACCAAGACAGAGACAAGTTAAAGAGTTCTTAAAAGGATCATCGTCCAAACTCACCGAGCATCTTACTAAGCGTTAATAGGAAAACGACTAGAGTACTATGTCTATTAACAGTACATTGTAGGCTTAATAAACATATGTATAATATCCGTTTGACAGAAGAGACCTTGTCCCGATTCTGCCAGGAAGAGGAGAAAACTGCAAAACACGTATTGTGCTACTGCGAAAGTCTAGCAAGACTGAGATTAATTACACTTGGAGGAGAAAAATCAAGAGCAACTAGCTTAGCCTGAGAACAACATCCTAGTCTATGGAGAATATTATACTTTATCAATGAATAGCTATATATTCTGTTATCTCTGGACCAGACGTAAGCGAGCAAACAGTCTGCTTACGCTGACTTGAGAGAAAATGGTAATTCAAAATACACATTATTTTAAAATTTGTCTCTAAAATTGTGATCGGGTTCACTTTGCTGCCACAAACACATTAACTTATTTAAAAAAAATACTTTAAATCAGTGGCAATTTTCCACTAGTTTCGATTGTACCTATATTTGTACACCACTGGTAGAACCAAAGATTTATCCGGTTTTTTTTTTATATTCTTTTACGTAAATTGGTGCATAATAACCTTGATATTCAAGTCTGGTCTCCACAGACTTCTTTGTAGGTAACTCAGTTCTCTTTCTCAAGGTATGATACATTGTTAGTGAAGTATGGAAACAAAAGATTTGCTTTTGACCGATAGAGACAAAATAAGAAAGGAATGGGGGAAAACGGCAAGTGATGTAGAAGAGTTTGTTACAATTTTGAAGGAATGGATAAAAACGCAAAGACACCTTCCTGAAATTCCAAGTAAATTTTTTTTATTATTAATATTATATTTAAATATTATTATTAGCATTTGTAAGTAAATGTATATGTTCCAAAAAGTATCTACTACTGTATAATAATTATAGCTACCTTCACTAACTGTAAAATGCTTTCGAAATATCTTATACAGTCAAAATATTTACATGTTGTTTTCAAAACAAAGTAGTAAATATTTCGACGCAAAAAAAATTATTAATAAAAAATTATCTTAGTTTTCCCACTTTTCTGTTTATTTATATGTATTTACGTTTTACATACTGATTTACTGCAGTATCTGATATCTCAATGTGTTGTTTAGCTTCGCTACCATGCCGTTTTGTTATTAGGGAACAAATACTTTTTGGTTTTGACTTCTAACATTTTCTCACACAGGGAGCATCTGAATTTTCACCAAACAAATTTTAAATAATGTGATTTAACTTTTTCTTGTTGCTTTTTTGTTGTTTGTGAATATACAGGATGTCCCATAAGTGTCTAATTGCTCAATATTTCAATTTGTTTTATAGACAGGCAAACAAGTTTCAAATAAAAGTTTTTTGAATTAGAAAAACGAATATTTTAAAAATATTTTTGCCCAACAAATAAAAATTTAATTTTTTCATTCATTTATTTTATTTCAGTTTTAGAATGTTTTGGTAATACTGTATTTATCACTAGAATATTTTTGAAAAATATTACAGGGATGCCAAGCAATTATTGTTTTTTTTTTTTGTAAAATTAGAGAATGATGCAGACAAAATAAAATTAAAAAATACAGACTTCTAAGACACCAAGATAACGAATAAGAGGGATAGAACTGATTCATCTTATACAGAGTGTTTTGAAACATATTTTAAATGTGGCTAATTTTGAGTTCAAATGACACATTTTTTCAAATGAATTACCATGTACTTTATTTCATTATTAAATTCATTATTAATTTTCATATCCAACGATACTTATATGTTAGCCTTTTATACGTATATAGAGTACCTAAATAGCTCTTTTATTATTGGAGATACGACACAAAAGTATGACCTTAGTTTATAATTACTCAGGGTAGTCCATCTGTATCTGTAACGTGTGGAGGGTGGGTGAACCCACGGCACTTAGGCTTCACTCGTCCCATTGTGCATTCTCCTAAGTAGGTAGGCACCTCCTAGCTCGTGAGACAGCCCACAGATTTAATGTAGTTGACAACGTCGCCAATAGGTGTTTCTCTTATATCGGTCAGTTTTAGCCAATTCTTGCCGAACACAAATATTCTAATAAATGAGAGCGGTTGGCAACCAGAAAGGATATGCTCGATGATCTCATCTTCTTGTTTGCATCCCCTGCAGAGTGCGGATTCTGCCACCCCCATGATACGGATATGCCTTCGTAGTTGGCAATATCCAGTCAGAATGCCTGTGATCAGGCACAGATTCTGTCTAGTCACAGTTAAGTATTTGTTTGCTGTAGTGTTGCCAGGATAACTTAAAAGCTCCCTGGTAAGTCTGCAGCTTCTTGTTTCATCCCAGCTTTCCTTGAATTTCACAAGGGAATGGGCTTTAATTAGGTTTGTCACTACAGCTACTCTCAGTTAAAGAGAAGGGTCAAGTCCAAAAGGTATTTGGTTGGCTGCCTTCTTAGTAAGTGAATCAGCAAGACGTGACCTTTAATCCATCTTAAGTTGACAACATTGTTGATGGATACTTTAGTCAAAGCTTCGTGACATTCTCGTACTAACCCTGAATAAATTGGTTCAGGTTAGTCCATAAATGAGGAGCTGACCAAACATACTTTTTTAAAACAAACACCCTGTACAGGGTTTTTCATTATATTCTCATTATTATTGCGAACAAAAAAAAAGTTTAAATTAAAAGCTTTGTTGTTTTACCTGTACCGACTAAAAATGTAATAACTGGCAAAATTGTACATACAAGGCGCCTCCAACAAAATATAATTTGATTTTTTTAATGGACACCCTATATATTTTTGTCATTTTAAGTAGACTTGCATTTCCTGATTACAAATATATAATAGTTTAATTATTTAGTGACTTATTGCACTATGAAAGTGTAATACATAGATGCCTATGAAAATGATGTTTCCAAGTGAAACAGTTGTTTGTTTATTAAAAGTGTTTAATTGATTACTAGTAATGGGTTATACTGTAACCAAAAAAGTTGAGGTAAAACAACAAAGCTTTTACTTTAAACTTTTTTTGTGTTCACAAGAATAATGAAAATAAGTAGTGGTCAAAATATAATGAAAAACCCTATACCTGAGTAGGTTCCACATAACAAATTTGATTGTTCTCACATCCTCAAACAATTTTAAAAGACTGAGAACTCCTAAAAGGGTTTTGCATTTTCATTAATTTACTATATGTATGTTGTTTATGTGTCAAAACGCGAGATTACGCTCTTTTAAATTTTTCAAATGGAATATAATGTATATTATTTCACCAATTAATTAATTAGTTTCTTTACAAGTACTTTTTATTTTGTTTGGCATTTCTAATACTAAAATATTTTTTTTAATTTTAATTTTATTTACAATGGATTATACTTATTACTTGTGACGTCTCGGGAATATAAAATCATTTTACCCTAAAAAGTCCATATTTTTAAAAACCAATTAGAAAAATGTAAAAAAAAGTAAATTTTCATGATAAAACCATCAAAATTTTAAGAAAAGATAATATTGTTATAGAGAATGCCAAACAAAATAAAAAATAAAGGAAGTAATTTATAAATTGATAGTATAACATACAGGGTACAGCATTTGAAAAAATTGAGAATATCGTAATCTTGCGTTTAGACAACGTAGCAAATAAATAAAAATGCATAACATTTTTAGGAACGTTAAATCTATTAAAATTGTTTAACGATATGAAAACAATCAAAACCATTCTACAGGGTGTTTGATTAAATTTGGTTTAATAACTTTAGTTCACCCATCATTGCTGGACTATCCTGTATATTTAAGAATGATTATAATTGAGTAATGTATTCTTTATTCTTTGTAAGTTACGAATTTAATGCTTGCTTATGGATTTTCAAGTGATCTTTGTCTACATAATATTTTGTTTGTGAAATACACTTTTTCCTTTTCGTAAAAACATTTTTGGGCTAATATTTGTAAATAAATTAGCTTTGTAAACTAAAAACAAACTGTTGCTAACAACTCTTAATCCTGACAATCGAGTTCCTTCATAATGCTCTCGTTTATGTTTTAAATTGAATAAAACAAAAATGCTAAAGAATACAAAGCAATGAACTGGAATTGGAACAATTAGGCAATCCAAATCACGTGACTTTAAATGGCAAAAACAAGAAAAGTACGGGTTTTCCATGACGTGAGGTTATTAGAACAAGTTTGTGTATTATTTTTTTGAAGTGTTTAGAGTTTTTCGGTGTGCGTAGTCGAAAAATAGCATAAATTAATATTTATTAAGAATATATGAATATTAATTGTATGATTTACAATAACAGGCAAATACTAATGAAAAAATGAAACAGAGAACGTTTGATTGCCTAAATTGCATTTTTTGAGTTCTTGAGTACCAATAAAAACTCCCAGGCTGGATATTTTGGTAAGTAATAGAGATATTTCAATTCTGTAAATGCCAGTTCATAGAGCGCTAAGAGAGCTTCAGTTTTAGATATAAATTTAAATATGTCAATATGTAAATGGCGCTGCAGTCAATATTTTTTCTTCCATGGGATCTTTCTTATATAGCACATCTGGTAAAAAATGCCTTTTTAAGCCGACTTTGTTCTATAAACTAATTCGAAAAATCTAGCCATTTTTGATATACAAAGTGGGTCACTCAAAACAGTTTTATCCTGTTTTTCGGCATCAATCATTGGATTTTTATAAAATGCTCAAACAGGTCGATTTTTATTTCAAATTGAACACATTTTTAAAATACAGACATCTGTCATGTGTCAACCCCTTCCCTTCCACTTCTCCCACCCCTTAATTTTAAATTAGGAACGTACCATGTATGGTACATCATTGAAGAGGTAATTTTATGGGGAAGTCAGAAATATGACTTCTTATTGCGATACTTTTAATTTTAGCGCCCTATATCGGGATAAAATAACCTGTAACGTATTATAAAGTGTGACACTTCATTTGAAAGCTAATTTAATTACTAATTCAATACACCACATAACAATATTATAAATATTTTCATATTGCACTTGCACAAAATAAATTTAGTAATAATGTTTAAAATAATGCATGACCAATTTTCAAACTATTGCAAGTGCAATATGGAGGATAATTATATTAATGTTATGTGGTGCATTAAATTAGTAATTTAATTTGCTTTCAAATAAGGTGTCACACTTTATAATACGTACACTTTTTTTATCCCGATAGAGTACGGTACAAAGTATCGCAATGGACAGTCATATTTCTAAATTATCCATAAAATTACCTTTTTAATGATGTACTACACATTGTAGTATCACACTATATGATACGTAGTAGTTTTTTATCCCCCATTAAATTACCTTTTCAATGATATGCCAAACATGGCGCATTACCTATTTAAAATTAAGGTGTTGGAGAAGTGCAAGAGAGGGGGTTGATACATGACAGATGTCTGTATTGTAAAAATGTTTTTAATTTGAAATAAAAATCGACCTCTTTTAGCATTTTTTAAAATCCCATGATTAATGCTGAAAAACATGATGAAACTGTTTTGAATGACCCACTCTGTATATCAAAAATGGCTAGATTTAACGAATTAGTTTATAGAACAAACTCTGCTTAAAAATGCATTTTTTACAAGATGCGCTACACATGAAAGTGTTAAGAACTTATAGCTCCACCTTGCGGCGAGAGTCAGAACTGCAAGAGGTGCCATCTTGTGACTGTAAAGAGTGCGTTCCTTGCTTTGCAGGAGTAAGACGTTGGTGTTGAACCTCTCTGCCAGGGGGCGAATTGATTTAATTACAACGACTTTTTTGAGCATTGGTGATCGAACGATATTGATGTATTGATTTCTTGTCTGGGCTGGTGTCTTGTCGTGTATTGTAACGATTGTAGCCATAATGATAATAAGCAACATTGTCATAAAGAATTTATTGTGTTTTCGTAATAAAGTTTGTTTTTAACCTGAGAACCTTTTGTGAAAATTATTTGCAAGTTAACAGAAAGATCCTCCCATCAAAAAAAAATTATTGAACGCAGCGCCATCTACATATTGACCTGCTTAAAATCAGTTTATATCTAAAACTGAAGCTCTCTTAGTGCTCTGTGGACTGGTATTTACAGAATTAAAATATCTATAATACTTACCAAAATATCCGGCCTGAGAGTTTTTATTGGTACACCTTTTATACAACAGTTTACCAATATCATCATTAATCTCCATACATATTTATTTTGGTTAAAATTATTCGGATCAATGACAAGGTACATATTATTATCATAGTTCACAAATATTTGTTTATTCAAGACTATAAAAACGCATCGCAATTTTTATTCCTATTTACGTAGAAATACTTAATAATGGTAAATATTTTCCAAAGAGAACATTGATTCATCCATTTTATTTAAAAATGAGAAGCATTTTTTCTTTCCTCTCTTTATGATCCTCTGTTTCATGTTTATCTTTGAGGATGGTTCAGGAATTAGATGACTAAATAACAGCCAGAATATTCATGACAATCTTTATTCAATGCCTTTCTGTATCCGTCTCTTTCCCACGTTATGGCTGTTGACATTAAGTAGTGGTACCAACCTAGTATTGCAATGTATAATAATCACATACTTTGATTTTCTTTTACTATACGGAGAATGGTCGCACTGCGCAGCTTTCTGAGCTCAGAGTAAGTAAGTAGTAAAGAGAGGACAGTAAACAATGTTTGTGTCGCCATGATATGATAATATGGTCGAGAATTCTAATTAGAGAGAAATAGATTAATATCTCTACCTCTTTGTTTGTATTTGTCAGTTTTACAGAGCTTTTCTCAGACAATTATTCCAGTGTTTAATTTAAATTTGTCCGTGTTGTGGTGTTAAAAGTAATTGTTATTAATATCATATTCATAACAAAAAAGTCATATTTTGTTTTCACTTCATTAAAAATGCACCTACCTACCTTTTAAAACATTTTATTTTATATTCTATTTGGTCAACATTTTCGCATTTAAAATGACCCAGCGAAATTGTTTTACGGTACACTACTGCTGAGAATTCTAAAACGAGTGAGAAAGCCTTCATTAGAAAGAGAGATACTGATTATATGATAGCGAGATTAATATTGTATTACTTTATGCAGTGGTGGCCTATCTGCTATTTTATTATCTAAGTGCCTTTTAAGAGAAGATAGAAAACTCCGCCATGTTGATCCCTTATTACGTGTTGCCTACATCTTGGCGCAATATTTTTAATGGGTGCGTTTTAATCATCCGCTTCTGCTTCGGAATTGTCGGTTTTCTTGTTTTAATCTGACAGGTTAAAACGACTAAACCGACAATTCCGAAAGCAGAAGCGGATGCTTAAAACGCACCTGATATTTTGCTTGCTACTGTCAGTGTCAGTGAATATTATTTTTGGAGTCACAGTTTATTGCTAAAGAATCAGTTAGCTCACTCGGACCAGTTGAAAGTTCCAAAATAACATCCACTCCAGGGATACAAATTCAGGACACGCAGAATACTGCTGTTTTATTATAGGCGGTTGTAATATATTGTATTATCCGAGTTGCGCAGTGTATAAACTGAAACATTGAGATCAAAACTGCCGACGCAGAGTGAGCGATCTGATTCTTCAGCTATAAACTGTGGCATAGGAATCAAAATGGCCGCGCCCTATGATGGGCGTTTCGGACCTCTCTCTTGCACCGTATAGTAATCAAAGTATGTGATAATATTAAATTGGTACCAACTATTACTACAATATGTAATATCCACCCCGTATAAATAATGTACATATGGTAAACATAGGGACAACAATATACACTAGGTACTCTCCAAAATTAACGCACCACCTTAAATGTACCATAAGTTTAAAGCTATTTTTCTTTTGAACTGTTGATTGGATTTCAATGATTATTTTTCACATTATAGGACTATTTCTAAGGAATAACTGTACCAATGTTTTCAGGGAAATGACAACGTTTTATCCATATACAGGATGTAAAGATAAATTTGTGTTTTTTCATCTTATTTTGCAACACCCTGAGAAATTTATTAAAAACAAACGCTACATTTTATTAATATTGCAAAATAGCTTCATCTTTTCTCAATATTTTCGTAAAAAAATCATTTTGATATCTCTATTATCAAAGATTATACATAACTTTAAATAAACATGTTTTTATGGACATTTAAAGCAGAAAGCAAAGAAACCACTACGTACATAAAACTTACTGACATTTAAAACAACTAAAACCTAATAAAACATAACAAAAATAATCTTTAACAAGTTCCCTCTCTTAAAAACACTTAATAACGAGTATTTCCGCCTCTAGTTCTAATTACTTCTTCACAGCGACTAGGAATACTTAAAATCAAGCGACGTGTTTGGTCTTGCTCAATTGCATCCCAAACTTCTCTCACCGTAACTTCTATGTCGTCAAGAGAGATAGGTGGTGGTTGTCGGCTTCTGAGTTGATGATCAATAGTATCCCACAAATTCTCTATGGGATTTAGATCAGGGCTGCAAGGTGGCCAGTTCATGGCTTGTATACCAACCTCGTCCAAATAATTACGGACCCCACGTGCAACATGTGGTCGTGCATTATCATGCATAAAAAGAAAATTATTTCCTATGTAAGGAGCAAAGGGAACTACATGGTTAGACAAAATGTCTGTAATATACCTTTCACTGATTAAAGAACCTCTTCGTAGAGCAACAAGACCCGTTCGTGTTGTAAGAGATCCCCAAACCATAACAGATCCTCCATTAAATAAAGTCATATGTCGTATTTTGCCCTGAGCATAGTGTTCTCTTGGCCGTCGAATAACTCTTACACGTCTATCTGGGCTATTTAAGCAAAACCTCGATTCATCTGTGAGCAATATGTACTCCCAGTCATCAACGTTCCACTCAAGGTGCTCTCTGGCAAATTGCAATCTACTATGATGATTTACGTTTAAAGCTGGTACTCTGGCTGGTATCCTTACATGCAAATCTTGTTCAACGAGACGCCTTTGTATAGTATTTCTACTAATTTGAATATTATAAACATCTGCCACTTGTATTTGTAAATTTCCCATTGTGACAAAACGTTCCCTTAAAGTACGAAGTATGATAAAATGATCTTGGCGTAGTGTTGTGTCTCTTCCTCTCTCTTGTCCAGGCCGTCTCGTATGGTCGTTTGTTTCTGGAAAACGTTGAACGACTCGCGGTACTGTAGTATGAGATACTCTTAACTTCAAGTCTATTTTACGATAACAGATTTATTGAAATACGGTCCATGTCAACTAATTAACATACGCAAAGCAGCAAGACAATTTATTGAATTATAAATAGTATTGTCAGTCTTAAACTGTCATGTCAATTTTTTGATTTTTCATAGCTAACTCCCTACTTATATTCCATTATAGAGTATTACAATTCAATAAAATCACATTATGCTTTGAACGTACTTTTCTTCTTGGATAACAGAGATATCGAGATTATTTTTTTACGAAAATGTTGAGAAAAGATGAAGCTATCTTGCAATATTAATAAGATGTAGCGTTTGTTTTTAATAAATTCCACAGGGTGTTGCAAAATAAGATGAAATATGGGTAAAAAGTTGACATTTCTCAAAAAACATTGGTACAGTAATGTGAAAAAAAAATCATCGAAATCCAATCAATGGTTCAGAAGAAAAATAACTTCGAACTTATGGTACATTTAAGGTGGTGCGTTAATTTTGGAGAGTAGTGTATTTTATTATTTAACTTGTAGCGTGTATTACTGATTTAAAAATCTCCCACAAATCAATCCAACCCTGGCAGATGCAGGAATGCAGTTTTAACATATTTCAAAATTCTAAGAAAAATATTCTGTGAACACTTGAGGCATACCTGCCAGCAAAATATAGTTTTCTCACTCATTGAAAATTGTGAGTAAATAAATACTAGTGCCGACTTTCTTCCATTCGCAGATCTGTTTCACTTGCACTCTATGGGGCCATTTAAAATAAATATAGAAAAATAAAAATTTACGCTTATTCAATGCTTACAACACTCATTCTATCTCTGTCCACAACCAATCTGGTGACCTCGCATGACATGTTCTCAAAAGCCAATCACAAGACAATATCAAACATACGATTTTTTCTCTAGACCAGTCACAACAGTGATACACATTTCGAAACTGGTTAAATAAATAGCTATTAAATTACAATTTTTTAGAAAAGTTAACGAAAGGTACCTATCTGTTTTATTAATAACTTGGCATCGCTGGTATATGTGTCAATTTTTTTTACTAAAGTTATAGTTTTTGAGGTAACATAAATAATTTTTATTTTCTAAGACGCAGTTGTTAAATTACTGTCATTTTGTGTACTAATGTAGATTTTTATTTTTAGATGACAACCTGATTGAATATTTTTTAACTAATTGTAAATACAGTATTGAAAAAACTAAAGAAAATTTGGACATGTATTATACAATTCACCAGTTGATACCAGAATTTTTTATTCATCCTTTAAAATGTAATCTTAAAGAGCTGGTTTCAAAAATGAGGTAGGTTTTTATTACAATTTTATTACAAACCGGTTTAATTGTATTATAATATTTTTTAAATATCTAGTCACAAATTAAGAAAACCTAAAATTATTCAAGTAAATTAAATTATTAAATTTTTTTTATTGTGGTATATATGTTACGGTCAAAGACGTTAACTGGGAAAAGACGTTAACTGCCGGCCATTGATGTCATTTTCACGTTTCATCTCCATTGACGTCATTAGCCGGCCAATGATGAGAATTCCCGTTTAACGTGGCCACTGTATGAGTGTATCATTTTTAATATGAATAATTACATCTTTGTCGTGAATGATTAGTTTTATTTGGACATTGTTGTTAATGATCACTAGGTTTAATTAAGCTTCTTCGAAAATGTGGTTTAACATAAAAATAGTTAGTTAATTATACTGGAGACACAAAAAACACTATTTAAAAAAAAACGATATTATTTTAAAATATAATAGGTATTACCTACGTATTGAGAAAACGGAAACTTTCTTTATTTTAGCTTACAAAAATAAAATTGGTAAAATTAATAAATTTGATTTGTTTCATATAAAAATAAGAAATTTATTCGTGCTTGTTTGTGCAATTGAGGTTTCCATGCCACTTTTGCGCGGCAGCTGCATTTATTTGATTTACAAGCTGTTTTGCAATGACATTTTTTATATCCTTGTGCCCCCAAAATGTTACTAGTTCCCGCTGCTTCTCTCAAGCTTATTTCTTTGTCTCCTAAAACATCGTCAGATTCCAGCAAATTTTCTCCATAGGGATTAAATTCGGATCTCGTAAATTTTTGTTTCAAAATACCAGAATTTGTCCCTTAAATAAAATGGAAAACGTATTTAACTGTCATATTTCGTACCTATCTCCTTTATCCATTTTGTTGCAAAAAATTATATTATTTTCTTACCAAGCGTGAAAAATCCTTCATTCTTATTTGTCACCACTGCTAACACATTGCGAGGAGCACACCTTGCCCTGTCAACATCAGGTATAGGAACGCGTACAGTTCTACCTACGTCCACTTCAGAAAACTTCTCGTTTGATAGTTTTAATCATTTTCTTTGCTTGTTTTTCTAAACATTCTTTTGATCTCTTCCGTTCAAGGAAAATTTTCGACTTCATGGTGCAATTAACGCATGCTTCATTGGAATTACAACCTTGCTCAGAAGGAAATAATGTAGAGCACTCTGAACATACATTATAGATCGATATAGCTCCTAAAAATAATCGATAATAATACACATTCTGAGGGTTAGTTAATTACTTTGTTAATAAATTATTTTACCTGTATTAACATCAGTTATGGCGGATTGACTTAGATTGGGTTGATTTTCGAATTCTGTATTATTATCAATTATAGCGGATTGACTTAGATTGAATCGATTTTCGAATTCTGTATTATTATCAGTTATAGCGGATTGTAGATTAGGTTGATTTTCGAATTCAACATTAAGTATTGCCGAAGTATTTTGTTCTTCTGTTCGACAAAATTCATTTTGTTTATTTAGTAATTCCTCAATGTCTTCTTCTGAAGTAAAATTGGCTGTCTCATTTTGTGGTAAACTTGTTGATGCCAACCAACTCTAGCGGGACATCCGAACATGGCTTCATAGGGCGATCTACCAATTCCTACCAAAGAGTCAATTTTTTTATTTTAAAATAAATATTTTTATTGTCACTTACTATGAAAAGCGCGGATCTTCTGGAATTGAATATATTTAAGAGCTTTGGGCCAATCTAAAGATTGATTGTCGGCCATCCAAGCGGCAAGCATTTCTTCTACATCTCTGTTTGCTCTTTCTACAGAACCTTGACTCTGGCTATGACGAGATTTGCCATGAATGATTCTTATATCTTTCCACTCTTTATGTAATTCAATTATTACTGAATTCACAAATTCGCGTCCGTTGTCCGAGTGGAGTATTACAGGAGCCCCAAACGTGGTATAAATCTCCAACAAGTGACTTGCAACTTTAATGGCTCTTTTGGATTTCAGTGCTTTAAGTAATGTGAACTTTGTAAGGTGATCTTGATAAACGAAAATGAATCGATAGTCATTATATGCTTGTGTCTGCATGTCAATTAAATCCAGTTGAGCTCTATAATTAAAATTAGAGTGCAAAATGGGTTTAGAAACTAATCCTTTCTTGGGAATAGCCGATTTTTTTTGACACTGAATGCAAAGATTTAAAAATACCATTATAATTTCTTTTGTCATATTACAGTATTTGTTTTTCAACTCGGCAACCATCCTGTTTCGCCCTCCATGGCCTATTTCAGCATGAGTCGATTGTAAAATATCATATAGCTCCTCATTTGTCACGTAATATAATAATTTATTAGTGTTTTCCTCTACCGGCCGTATCAAACGATCTTTGCCATTTAATGTTAAAATGTCGTATCTATTTACTATCCTATAATGAATTTGATTTTTTTTTTATAAAGGCGTTTAAAGTAATAGTTTGGCCGCCTTTACTTTTTGAATTTTGGATTCATATTCATTTTGACTTAGAAAAAATGTATTGTCACCCCTTTTACTATTAAGTAATATAGTTAATGCCTGCTCAAATCTATCCCTCGTTAGTTCCATTGTTGATAAATAGCACAAATAAAAAAAGCACTTCAAACACGAACTGGCGCGCACTATGTTTACTGCACCTGCTCTCAAACTAAAGTAAACTAAATTCTAACCTAAGTTTTCAGCATTGGCCGATTGTTTGTATACATTGACGACAATGGCCGGACAAAGACGGCATTATCATGAATGGCCAAATTAAATGATTATTGACGTGAAAGCCCGGCCAATGGTGTGAATGAACAACTTGCATAACATATACACAAGGCCTGATTTGACAATTGATTAATGAATAATGGACTGATAATAAGTTAAAAAGGAGAGAAAGGCTGTGAGCTCCTTGTAGAACATCAGAATTATTAATTATTATTATTATTACTGAATAAACCATCTCATTACTTTTTGTAGTTATATAGTAACGTTACCAAAATTAGACGATGATTTGTGTCGAATAACAATTATCAAATACCATGAAGATAGTGCAGAGATATTTGATCCTCTCAAGTTGGCAGCCTATGTTTGCGATACATTTGAAATTAGGTTACACGAAGATTTAGCAATGGGAGAAATTGTTGTTTATGATGCTGAACATTTGTCAATGGGACATGTGGTTAAATTAACTCCATCGGTTTTCAAGAAGTTAGCGCTATTACTACAGGTAAGTCAGCTATGATATTTAAAAAGTAAATTAAAGCATATGTATCATAAAATATACGATGTGTACAAAAATTAATAGGGTAAAAAACAATTTAAATAAAAGTTTAATGAAATAGATCAAGTTATCAGTCAATTAGTAAAGTACCGGTTGCACCATTCCTTCAAAATAACCAAGGCTATATTGCTTTTAACTAATAAAGTTAGCGTTATTCGCTTTAAAGGTGTATATTTTAGTTTTAATAGATTATACAATGATGAAAAAATATATTAGAGAGTAGGTACTATTTAAAAACATATATCTCTATAATGATAACTTTCATAAAACTTTCTTTCGTTGTGTTACTTTTTTAATTTTTTTTACTACGATTATATTTTTCTTTATGGTTGCAAAATAATTAAAAAATTATTTTATCATGAACATCTTAATCTTTTAACTTTGTCTTGTTCTGCTCTAACTTTTTCTGGTCTGTTTGTTTGCCATTTCACTTGTATTTTATCTGTAGATTTCGTTCCGCTAGCTTTATACTGTTATCTTGACTGTTGTTCTTCTTACGTGGCAACTCCATCTCAATTGTCCTTGTGTGTGGTGTCAGTTTCAAATTCTCCCTCTGCTCAGTATGCACTGTGCCTGTGAATAATAATAATGTGGTAAATTGTGTCTGTATTGTGTGTTCTTTATTGAAAAAAGGATTTTCAAGTAGAAATTTTGAAGAGAAAGCGGACATTATTAATTCTAGTAGACTAAAGGATCCTATCAATTTAGACACGAAAGTAAAAAAGTCAGCAAAGAAATTTACCAGGCATTTTCACGTAGGGTTCTATGAAAAGTATGAAAGGTTAACCGGCTGCAAAACTTTGAAGAAATTGTTTTGCTGGCCTTGCCTACTTTTTAATATAGCCGGAAAAACACATTGTAACTCAGTCGGTATTACAGACTTAAATAATTTTCATAAAAGTGTAAAACGACATGTAAATAGCAAATCTGATATAAGTGCTAGAATTAAAGAAAATACATTCGGGACCTATTGCATTGAACATAGTTTGGACAATCATTTAAAAATAAGCAACAAAATTCACAATGAAACGGTAAAAAAAAATTGGGACGTCTTACAACTATTAATAGATGTACTGGTTTCCTGGGAGAGCATGAACTAAGTTTTAGGGCTCACAATGAAGCAAGTGGATCCGCCAATCGAGGAAATTACATCAACCTTCTAAGTTTTTAAGCAAAATACGATGATTCCCTAAAAAATTATTTTATTGATTCGACGACTTTCCGAGGTACCTCAAACAGAATCCAAAATAATTTAATTAAATGCACTGCCGACGTTGTGATGGATCACATTAAAAGTGAAATTAAAAAAGCACCTTTCGTATCAATTGCGCTTGATGAAACCACAGATGTAGCAAACTAAAGTCAATTATCCATTTTTGTGCGATATGTATTGGATGGCATTCCTCAAGAGCAATTTTTAGAATTTTTGTACGTAACTAGCGAACGAACTTCAGATGCATTGTTTAAAATTGTTTGTGACATTATTTAAAGTTTAGAATGTGGTTCTAAGCTTGTTGCTCAGAGCTACGATCGTGCTGCCATAATGACTGGCCATTTAGGAGGCCTTCAAGCTAAAGTGGAAAAGAAGTTTTAACATGCAATTTTCGTTGACTGTATAGCACATAGACTTAATTTGGTTTTATCGCGAAGCATGGATAATATTAAAGATTGCAAAGTTTTGTTTTCGACGCTTAATGGTTTGGCTTCCTTCTTTTCAAAGTCATCGAAAAGAACTTGCGCTTTGGACATTCACGTTCAAAAAAGGTTTCCAATAGTTGCTCCGACGCGATGAAACTATAATGGGCTAAACGTGCAATGTTTCAATACCGTGATTATTTCATACACTTTTTTTAAGACGTTTGGGATAATAGAGAAACATGGGATGCTGAAACTGTTACTGTTGCTAAAGGGTATTTGCATTGGCTCAAACAAAACTTTGATTTAAACCTTATGCTCAACATTTTTGCAGATATTTTTCCTTTTACTGACATTTTATTCGACATTTTACAGACAAAATCAAATGGCATTGGCTTTTGCATAAGACTCAAAACATTGGCTTAGAACCTGAATGAAAGAGAATTAGAATTGATCATATTGGCGACAGAGAGACCTCCTATCGTCGATTATACGCCCAAGTTTTTGATAATATTTTACAACAAATGAACTCTCGATTTCAAAACTTTAACGAATTAAAATTTGTTGAATTGTGCAATTTTAATATTAGTAACTACGATTCATTAAAATTTCCATCGAAAGCTTTTAATTCACTAAAATTAAATTATGGAAATTTTTTCGATATTCCAGCATTAAAGTCCCAGTTAAGTGTTGTTCATGAAACAACTGAAATTAGTGATAAAAAGACGCCCATCAATGTGTTAAATTTTCTTATAACAACTGGTTTAAATAAGTCCATTTGTGAAGTCGTCAAGTTGTGTGAATTAGTACTAAACATCCCAGTCACAAGTGAAAAGTTTTATAAAAAATTCAACAAGTGAAGACAGACTCTTTAATTTAGCCCTAATAACCATTGAAAAACAGCTTGTTAAACAGTTATCAGAAAATCCAAAATTTTACGACGATGTTATAGACAAATTTGCAGCCATAGAGGATAGGCGAATAGATCTTAAGTATAAATAAATGTCAACTGATGTATCAACTGTGCGAAAAATTCTGGAAAAAATAAAAAAAAACTTCAGTTAAATGTTTTTTTTACGTTTAAATAAACCTAGGAAGCTTTTAAATGGTAATTTTTTTTATAGCTTCTATTACTAAATTAGGTAATAAAGTAATAGTAACACTTCAAAAATCTCAATCTCGAATATCCGTAGTAATGAGGAAAAAAAAGCAAGATTTTGAGAAAATGGTGAATGCGCCGCGAAAAATTTTCGTCTGCGGCACAGTGCTTACTGGCCTGCTTTATATTTATACAATCGCTTTCCCTTCCAAAAATTTCACGGCACGCCACTGCTATGAAGCTAAATATTGGTATTTATTTGAAAATCTAGAAGAACTTTTATAAACTGGTTAAAATTTGGGTGTTGTTTTGAATTATTGCCTTATGGGCTAAATAAATCCACAAATTAAACTTACCGATTGATGTGATGGTCGTATCCTCAAGGAACTGTCGATGAGCACTTTAGGGATAGGGTTAGGGAAAGAAAGGAAAGTGCCCAATTCAATTATTATTACATTTAACTACTAAACTTATGCCGGTTTTTCTAATTTTACTTCGATTGATTCCGATCGGCCTTAATTCATAACTGCGTAGTACCGAATGTCCAGAAGACACTAAATACAGAACGCGTCTTTGCCACGTCTTAAATTATGTACGAACTTTACTGAACAGGTGTGTATTATAAATTATAACGCGAATGAAAAGATTCGCATGCGTTTGTTATCCTTTTTAAAGAAGAGTTTTTAGCCCAACTGATAGGAGGAAAGGTAGAAATTTCATCTATATAAGTTTCAACTAAAAGTCATTAAATTTAATCACCCTCTCATCATCTGGTTGAACTGCAACGAGATCAAGAACAAAGCAATCGCCAACGTCTTCTGCTTTAATAATGGTAAACCAAAAATATAAGTAAGGTATTTAGTTATATCTGTTTCTAAATTATCTTTTAACTGATACTCGGTAGAAAGTCCTAAAGTTTGAATTTTTCTATACTAACTTTGACCTAGATCAGCTGTACTCAACTTTTTTTTTTCGGGCCACATAAATCTGTTTGTTATGCTACATGGGCCACATAAATCTGTTTGCTATGCTACACGGGCCACAATATTTTTGGGTTATAACTAGAGTTGCCACCTTTTTGAAATGTAAATAAAGACAATGGGTGACGATAGGGATCCGTTTTAAGTCCTCATGTTCTTTTAGTTGTTTTAATAAGCTTTGAAAAGTCGCAAGGACAATTTATTTCAAAAAGGACTATAGATCAACCATTTAAATTCCTAATAATAGTGTTTGGGGCTGCACAAAAAAAGCTTGGAGGGCCGCACAAAAAAGCTTGGAGGGCCGTATGCGGCCCGCGGGCCGCAGGTTGAGTATGGCTGACCTAGATGAAATAGACATCCCTTAACCTTAATTTGGAAAAATTTCACGAATTGTTTTGTGTACTGCTAATTCAAAATCTGAAGTTATAGTTTTTGGAAAAAAGTCGTGACCTGTTAAAGATAGCTATATTTCTTTTAAATATTGAAAAGCTAATTTATATGACACTGTATTTTTATTTTTTAAAAGAAAGAAAACGAGAGGAATATAATGATTATTTTTAAAACCATGAATGGTAAATATTTGTTAAAAAAAATAGGACAATAATCGAAAGTGCCGTCAACATATAATTCACTTATTTCTTCAAGAGCATAAAGATTAGTTTTACATGAAACATGACTATATTATTTATTTCATCATTTTTAAGAAGAAAATATTAGTTTTTAATGTAACAGAATTTAATAAACTATGAAATTCAACTATATTAGTTGGAAGTTTTGGTGCAATTTTAGACCTAGCAGGTATACATATTTTTTCTCATCCTTTTAACGTCATGAGTGGTAATAGTTTCACAGTGGGATTCTCTTACCTCCTTTCTAATCAAGCCCATTGGTTTTGCCGAAATATCTTCTATTGATTTAATTTCTACAGTATTGCTTAGAGTCTGTCTATTTAAAAGTTCTTCTGATTATTTCCCATGGTTGTGGTTTAAACAAGATTCTATCACTTCATGACGGTCCAATTTTGTTTTAACTAAAGCTTTGCACTGCGTTTTCCTGGACACACAAAGCCATCTTTTTAAAGTGTCTTTTGCTAATAACTTGTGGAATGAAAATTTAAACCCATCAATTACTAACAAATCTTTGCCTTTTTCACTTTTAATTATTATAGCCTCCATTATACGTATAATTTCGCTGTACACACTTTTAATTATTCTACAACTTCGGTTTAAACAAACTTTACAATCTCTGAAACTTATGAAGAATATATGAAACATGGTTTATTATTTTTAATATTTCCTTTTATAAGACGAAGGAGGAAAAGTAGGCAACTATTTCTAGATTTGAAAAATGTTGCTGGATTAAATTAATATGATTTTAATATAAATGTAAATTACTTTTAAAGTTTAGGATTAAAACTAGATTTAAATGCAATTACCATAAGTATTTATTAATGAATATTTTAGGTGTAAATGCAGGTTATAGTTAAAACTAAATAAATCTAAGGATTATTTTCTCACTACTTATTAATAACTTGTAACAAATATTCTATTTAAACATCCATTGCAGATTACCTCTAATAAGGGTTTGGGGACAAAACGTCTATCGCCAATATCCTCTAAGTTAAGACAATTACAAATACTGACTATATTGTTTTTTCAAAATGTTTATTTAAACAAAGATGTGTTAAATGTATATAGCCTAATAATATTAATTGGATTATTTACTTTGGTCATTGTCTCTAATACGAAAATTAGCCTATACTTTAAAGCTTATTTTTTATTTTTAAGAAAGAAAAAAATGGACATGTAAGTAAAGGTTAAATATGTGTTTAGGAGTCATTTTTCCAATATTTATATAGTTTGTGTTTTAAATATTGAGAAAATTATTATAGAAACATTTTGCGATGTTCTCAAAAAAAAAAAAAAAATAAATAAAATTTTGGAAAAGCGGCTCCATAGGAACACATATTTGATCATTACCGTTTTCACATATATTATTTATTCTATTAAAAATAAACATTAAAAATGGTTAACTGTTAAAAGTTTACATGGCAATATTTCGAGTAAACTATACCTTTAAATAAAACATTCTGCTATTTTATTAGTAAGAGTGTATTAACCGATAATAGGCTGACATACTGATAGTTTTTGAGCCATCATCACGAGAAATTATTATTATTATTATTATTTATGTCTTCATTATCTGTGTTTAATGATGTTATTATAAAAAGACACCCAAACCTCCTAAAAACATTTTATCTTCCTTCTTGCTAATATTAGTTAAACAGATAGATAAAAAAGTTCTTCTATGTGAGGATCACTTACAAGAGTCAGAAATGCCAAATCACTTAAAATCAGTTTTAACTCTGCAATAGAGAGTAAAATTTTGTAAAATGATAGCCTATATTTGCTGCTTAGACAAACGTCTTTCGAGTAAATAAACACTAGACAGGTTACGGGTTGAATATTGTCAGCATTTCCACAAAGATAGCTGAAAACTAATAGTCGACGAAGTTAGTTTCATATCTTTATATGTCAAATATACTATTTTTCATATGCTGCGTTGGGCATAATTTAAATTCACTTTCAGGTATACTACATCGTTACCAGAGCTGGGAGTATCTTAGAAAAAATATACTTTTCAGTATCTAAGATACAAGATAGTATCTTGTATCTAGATACTTTTTCATGTGATGCAAAAGTATCTAAATTTAAAGATACTTTTTAAAAGTATCTGTATCTTGTATCTATTTTTAAGTGTCTAAGATACTTCAAAAATATCTAAGATACTTTATAAGTATCTTAGATACTAAAAAGTATTTAAGATACTGTAAGTATCTTAGATACTAAAAAGTATTTAAGATACTGTATAAGTATCTTAGATACTAAAAAGTATCTAAGTTACTTTTCAAAAGTATCTAAGATATTTTTTAAAAGTAGTTAAGATACTTTGTGAAATAATGTTTTTAGGTTGAGCGAAGGTCGCAAAGTCTAGCCACATGTTCAGACCTGTTGATTATGCGCTGATCGGTGAGTTACATTTCAGAGGATTTCATGCTGTCAGTATACTTGGAGAAGAACAAATCTCTTTGTGAATTAGCTACGTACTCTGTATTTACTAGGGTTGCCAGACAGACTTGCTTGTACGCTTTTTATGCAAAGGCCACGCTTTTTAAAAGTCGCAGAGGAACCGGATTTATATAAAAATAGAGAAATGTCCGGGTAAAAGACCCTCGTTTTTACGAAAAATAAGCTGAGGACCTTTTTCTTTTTTTTAACGGCAATTAACCATCTTTAATCAATATGCATTCTCAATATTAAACTTAAGGATGTAGAGTAGTCAAGCAAAACAAGAAGTTTTCCAGTTGTGGCATCTCACTGATGACCACAATTTTCAAAGAAAATCTGCAGCATTGGCTGTCGTAGATATTTCATAAGTATCTTAGCTACTAAAAATATCTAAGATACCTTATAAGTATAAGTATTTTAGATACTTTTAGAAGTATCTTAGATACTAAAAAGTATCTTGGATACTTTTAGAAGTATCTTTTTCAAAAACCATCTTAGATACTTTCTTCGAAAGTATCTTAGATACTTTTTAGAGGTATCTTGTATCTAAGATATTTTTAATACTTAGTATCTTTTTCTAAATGTATCTTGTATCTAGATACTTTTTAAAGTATCTTTCCCAGCTCTGATCGTTACCATGTCTATTTTAACTAGGATTAGTTATAAAATAGCTAATAAGACAAAATTAAATTTAAACGTCATAGTTATAAATAATCTTTTAATCTGGCAGCTAAAATTAACTAAAACGTACAGAATAGACCCCTACTATGTAACAAATTACGATCACACAATCTACTATACAAGTTAATAATAACATAATGGTAAACATATAAAAAAAAAATAAAAACATTTTTAAAAGAAAACAATAGTAATAAATATTAATAACAATAATGATATCAATAAATAAAGAATTATAATTATAAATATTTTATTTTCAGGCAGTTTTAAGAAATCGAATAAAAGGAATTCACTTAATTAATTGTCCACCCTACATCGATAAGTTAGTATCTCTAGTAAAAATGTTCATGAAGAAAAAAATATATGAAAGGGTAAGTCTTATTTGATATATATTTATATATACCGGGTGTTCAAATAAAGTGTTACAGCTAAATACCGCCTATTATATAAAAAAAAAACGTTTCAGACGAAAGTTTTATAGTTTTGTGGGGAAAGAATTTTGGCTAAAATCGTTTTTTATAGCTAACCATAATATGACTAACTTTTTTTTCGCCCAGAAAAATTTTCAAGTAGCTGTTACTCAAAAAGTAAAAGTCGAATAAAAAAAATATTTCTATCAAAAGTTTCTTATTTTTTTATGTACTTTAAGAATATGTAAAAAAATTGTGTTCCCATTTAAAAAAACAAAGTCTACCTGGATATGGCCATATTATGGTAAGCTATAAAAAAATGAATTTAGCCAAAATGTTTCCCCTAAAAAACTATAAAACTTTTGTCTGAAACTTTTTTTCTAAAATGCATATTTTCGGCGGTATATAACTGTAACACTTTAATTTGAACACCCGGTATATATTTTTTTTAATAAGAATTGTGGTTTCTTTTTGTTTAGTTTATAGCACACCATCTGTCCAAAAATTGTCTGTCGCGTTTACCAATAAATACATTTTGAAATGTTTCTGTTCTGAAAGTTTATTAGTATACTTTCATCATGTTTAAAATTGTATGGTAACTTATAGATAGGCTCCACCAAAGTGAGGCGAATTGTTTAAAATAAGTGTGGCTCTGCTTCTTAAAAAAATATATATATTGTCGGCATTTTACATTTTATACCCATGTAAATAAATCAATGTTCTTTGTTAGAAAAATGTCCTTTTCAAATGTGATTAATAATTTGTATATAGTCAAAATGCCATTACTAAAGCCTTGTTCAGAGTAGGAGCGACGAGCGTCGTGATGCGATAGCCTTGCGTCGAGTGTCGCGTTGTTGGTAAAACTATCTAGTATTATCAAAAACAAACAAGGCTAATAGTCTAATCAACAAGTTCAAAAGCGTGTTTTTGGGACATACTATTACGAAAATTATGTGCAGTAGCTCATTCGATTCGGAATAATGTCTAGATCAATGTGTGAAGAAAAATTTTGCAGTGCATAAAAAATTGCAATAGTTATATACAATTAAACACCTCAAAAACATGGTGTTAATTTTCGCCTATAGTTTGTAAACTATAAATATTTTTGGATTTTTCAAAAAAGATCCTTAAAGAGGAGGAAATGTGCTATAAATAAGTTCCAACTCCTGGAACTGTACCTCTATTATTTATAATTTTACTTTAATGCTCAAAGTAGCCTTCCGTGTGCCATTTTTAGGTTGCGCGCACGGCGTCGAAACCGAGTACGTTACATAAAATAATTTTTTTAAGTTAATAAAATTAAATTCAAAATTTAAAAAAAATACGGTGTATTCTAAACACTTAGAAGAATTCATTCCCGTTGGAATTTTTTATAAAAATTAATTTTCCAACAAACTAGGTTATTGTTAATTAACAAAATTTTTAGAATTTCTCTCATCATTACAAATTGATAAAAATATTAAATAATTACCGTAAATTTATTTTGCTTCGTGGAGCTCTTTTTATATACATATAAAACAAAATAGTTTCATAAAAGTTTAAAAAATGTTAATACTTTATTTATAATAATTTTTTAAAGTTTACAAAAACGGAAAAATCACAGTGGTGCTATAAAAAATTTTTTTTTCAATTTATTATAATATTTCTGTTTTAATGTCGAGAAAAGACATTTATAAATTAAAAAAAAAATTTCCTTTATTTGTTTATAAATTTTTTTTATAAATAAATGGAGTATTTAATTTTTTTTCAAATTTTTTTTTTTTACAACTTTCTAGACAATTAATAATAATAATAATATATTTATTGCTTTTAAAAACAGATTGTTTTACACCAAGGGATTGACATACAAAAATATACCTGTTCATACAATACAAATTAATAAAAAAAAAAAAAAAGGAACAGGAAGAAAAGCAAAATAAAAATACAAAAAAAATCATGTTAGTTACCATATCTTTGCTTAAATTATTCATTTATTATGAATGATCTTAGTTTTAGTACGTTCCATATAAAAGTTGCAATAGTTTTAGCAGAATTGATCGTCATATTATCAAGAGAGTAAATAAGTGAGTTTAAATCAGCTAGATAATTACAACTTTTAGATGTGATGACATTATAAATGGGACAATGAAACAAAATGTGATGAATTGACTCAACTTCATTTTTATTGCAAGCTGTACAAATTTCTCTAGTATTTATTGTGTATGACAATCCATTAAGAGTGAACTTTAAATTATATTTATTACTCAGTCTCAACTGGGCTATAGTGCGAGTAATCTGAATAGGAAGTTTTAGGACAAGATAATTTTTAGGCTCGTGGTTGATTGTAAATACATTGTAAAAATTAAGAAAAGATGATCTTTGCACCTTTGCTAAATCTTCGTTATGTAGTTTGTCATAAAATTGGGACAATAATGTTTTTTTTTATTTCGTTTTAAAGTTATATATGAAAGATTGTTCCAAATAGCGCAAGCATCAATAAATTCAAATTGACTTTTTACTTGCATGGCCCAGTTAAATTTCTCTTGACAGTTTAACATGCGCTTCTATTGGAAGAAACAGATTTTTGGAAGTCTGCTGTCATGCATAGATAAAATTTTGAGTAACCAGTTAAGTGTCATTTTAAAAATATTATAAAGAAGTTTGACTCGGCCCGTTTCAAGTCTTATTACATAATCCGGTGTATTGATTGGCACGGATAAAATTATTTTTAAAAAGTTGGTCTGTACACGCTCAAGTATGTCACTATATCTTAAACCCCAAACAGGAATGCAGTTTGTCATTGTGCTTACGACCAAGGACTCAAATAATTTAATTCTTGGGTACCAAGTATCTACTTTGGCTTTTGCCATTATTGGAATGATTGCACCACTTGCTTGCTTAGATTTGTTAGTAGTTACATTTGCCATCTCACAAAATAAAGAAGAGGATGTTAGGGTAACAATTGCCAATTATGATTTTTTAAAAAAAAATTTTTTCTTAATAATAACTTTTAATTGTTTATAATCGTTTTTTTTAATATATCTATTGTTTAAATTATTAGTTAAGAAATGTGTTTTTTTTTTAAATCATAATTGACAGTCCTCTACAAAGTGACAGCGAAAAAATTTTTTTTATTGATAATTCAATTGTTTATTAAGTTAACAATTTGTTATAAACGAATTCCCAACTTTGGTTTATTTTTTTCCTGAAAGAAATAAATATTCCAAAAACGACTTTTTATAAACAAATATAAAAAACAACAAATTGACAATAGGTACGGAATTGACAAATAACTTATCTGAGAGATAATTTCATTGCCTACAAAAATGACTTGAATGTTTATTGTCGTATCTCCAATAGTTTAAAAGTTATATCAACTTTTAAGTCAACAAATGGATCAGCTGCTGCAACTTTGATAGTACGTATATTTTCAAAGTTTAATAAAAAATGGAATACATTTTTTCCGTGATTTTAATGCACTAAGTCGTTTCTTGAATATTTATTTTTTTCAGGAAAAAAATAAACCAAAGTTGGGAATTTGTTTATAACAAATTGTTAACTTAATAAACAATGAAATTATTAATAAAAAATTTTTTTGCCGTCACTTTGTAGAGGACTGTCAATTATGATTAAAAAAAAACACATTTCTTAACTAATAATTTAAACAATATATATATTAAAAAAATGAGTATAAACAATTAAAAGTTATTATTAAGAAAACATTTTATTTTTAAAAATCATAATTGGCAATTGTCTAGTTGTAAAAAATAATTTGAAAAAAATTGAAATACTCCATTTGTTTATAAAAAATTTATAAACAAATGGAGGAAAAAAATTTTTTTTTCAATTAATAAATGTCTTTTCTCGACATTAAAACAGTAATATTATAATAAATTGAAAAAAAAAATTTTTATAAAACTTTTCTGTTTTTGTAAATTTTAAAAAATTATTATAAACAATGTATTAACATTTTTTAAACTTTTATAAAGCTATTTTGTTTTATATGTATATAAGAAGAGCTCCACGAAGCAAAAAAAATTACGGTAATTATTTAATATTTTTATTAATTTGTAATGATGAGAGAAATTCTAAAAATTGTTTAGTGTTTAGAATACACCGTAATTTTTTTAAATTTTTGAATTTAATTTTATTATTTTACTTTGAGCGTTAAATTAAAATTATAAATAATGGAGGTATAGTTCCGGGAGTACGAACTTATTTATAGCAAATTTCTTCCTCTTTAAGGATCTGTTTTGAAAAATCCAAAAATATTTATAGTTTACAAACTCTAGGCGAAAAAACAAACACCATGTTTTTGAGGTGTTTAATTGTTTATAAATTCTGCATATTTTTATGCACTGCAAAATTTTTCTTCACACATTGATCTATAGACATTATTCCGAATCGAATGAGCTATTGAACATAATTTTCGTCATAGTATGTCCCAAAAACACACTTTTGAACTTGTAGATTAGACTATAAATACATATCATATTCAGGGCCGACGAGATGGGGGGTAGCTGAAGGGCCCGGACACAAGTGGGGACGTTTTTTTTATTTTTTTCGAAGTTTGCCACAAAACCAGAAGAGGAAGGAACTTATTTTTGAGATTTTACTAAAACAACGAAAGAAGTTTTTGCTTAAAGACCTTTCTTTTTTAAGAATTGTGATCTTAAAAGGACTTAATGTATCTATAAAATTGTCCTGGGGCCCTGATCATATTACCAAAAGTTAACTCAATTATCAGTTTTTGTATAATAAATAATGCACTCAATGTAAACATAAGTTCGGTAATTATTTTTTAAAGAGTTATTCATAATTTGTTATTCGAAGAGGTAGTGGTATTTTATCTTTTATTGTATATATTTTTTTACCTTCTATTTTGGAAATTTTTATATTTTTGATGGAATTTTTCATTTTTGAATTATTCGAATTTCAAAACATTTAAATTAAGTTCAAGTAAAAATAATGTCTTATTTTATTTGTAGATTCATCTTCATCCCAATATGGAAAGTTTATACAAAATCATTCCTCAAAAAATGTTACCAAGTGATTATGGAGGAGATGAAAAGTCAATGAAAACAATCATGGGTAAACATTTTATTTGCTCATCAACTGTGACTGTGATCCCAACATGTTTAAAAGGGTTTTGGTATAGTACGAAAAAGATATATAGCCGGCAACATACAAAAAAAAAACTAAAAAAACTGATACATTAAATATAGTAGAGCAGCAGTCAAGAAAATGAGTATACTTATTTTATTTTTACTTCCCTCGATGAAAAGAAAATATTTGAATCGTGAAAATTTAGATTTTCACGTTTTCGGGTTACTAGATTACGAAAAACATGTTTTCCCCATTCCGTCGGTCTGTCTGCCGTCCGCCGTCTGTTGTCTGCCATCTGCCTGTTGGCGCGGTAGCTCAAAAACGGCTTAAGAGAAAAAAATTCAAATTTTGTAAACAGGTAAGGCTTCCTTTTGGCCCAAAACCGGTTATACTTCCGGTCAGATATATACAGGGTGAGCAATTAAAAAAAAACATTTATTTTTAAAAATCAGCAGATTTGGACTAAAATTGGTTTCTGATAAAATTGTTATTTGATCAAAGATAACAGATCATTTTAAAAATTGAAAATGGCTTCCTTGTTTTTTTAATTTGTACAGGGTGTTTTTTAATGGTATTCCAATATTGTAGAGTATAATTCCTCAGGTCATTTTATTAAGAAAAGTTCATATGTCTGCAACGGCTTCAATTTTTTGCTATAGGGAGTTGAAAATTTGTTTTTTAATATCTCTGAAAATAGTTTAGATTTAATTTTCAATTTTGACATGTGTTAATAGGATATAAAACTACATATTTTACTTAGAAAATTTATTTTATTGTTCTGTCATGTCATCTGATATTTTCTACAAAAAAAGTAGTACGCCACTGACATTTTTTCATGTTGATATTTTTACTCATTTGACTGGTAAATTCTACATCAATACGGTCTCCTGTATTTTTCTCGTCAGCCGCTCGGTTCTAGATTAAAATAATTAAAATTAATCGTCAATATTTTAAAATAAATAAATTTTAATTTAATTGATGAACAATAAGATAAACGCCACTGGTGAAGCAATAAAATAACTTTTTCGTCTAAAATATGTGGTTTGTATCCTATCAAAAATACAAAAATAAGGAGATAATCTCAATACAGTATGCCCATGGAATTCAGCAATACTATCTATGGCGTATTCTATTTTAAATTGTTTCGCCCGTAAAACTTTAAGAAGTTCTTCTTTCTTATAGCTGTCTTGAAAATACAGATGATTGTCCATTAGAAAATTTTTTATATCCGCTTTCGTCATCGTGTTGAATGTACTCCTAAACAATCTGCGTCTTGACTAAATCGTCGGCAGATTCCTACTCAATGCAGTACAGGTGGCAGGAAATACAACTGGCAGGAGCGGACTAGGTCTGTGAGTAAACTTTTAGAAAATTAACTTAGTTCGTTGTACATTCTTTTTCTGATTTTTAAAATGTGAGATAAAGAGGTGTTAAAAAAAACCGTGCGACTAAGCACACCCGAAGCTAGTCAAATTTTCTTGTATTTACGCCTTATGTTTGGAATTATCTCAAAAGAAAAAAAAGTGTTACATGTATCTAAATATTACGTTGAATATTATAAATCAAAAGATGTTGATGTTGCTTGAACAGCATTTTCTTGAGTTGTTTGAATCCTCTTATTGGGTGATATGAATTAAAATCTGATGTGTCAAAACACATGACTTTCCTATCTAGTTAATACAGGCTTTTTTCGGTTATATAAAACAAAACATAGATTTCGATATTGCAAACAACTTTCAGTTTGAGAATTTTTTTTAAAAATCAGAGTTTTGCACATTTTGTCAAATTTCTCGATTGTGGACCATTTTAGGAAAATTTTGTATTATAACATTTTAACAATTTTCTTAAAAATTTAAATTTTATACATTTTGTCAAATTTCTCGAATACGGACCATTTTAGGAAAATTTTGTATGAAATAAAAATTATAAAGAATAATATTAGAAGTAACTTTTAATTAAAGAATTTTCTTCTCCAAACGTAAATAAAGGATATAATCCATAAAATTCTTGTTCCATACTAAATTTTCCTAAAATGGTCCGTAATAGAGAAATTTGTCAAAATGTGCAAAATTCTAATTTTTAAGAAAATTCTTAAAATAAAAGTTGTTTGCAATATCGAACTCTATAAGTTACACATGATTTCTCTAGAATGGACCGTAATGGAAAAATTGGAGAAAAAGCGTAAAATTTTAATTTTTTAATATTTTCGTTGGCAATGAATATATATAAAAAATGTTTCGAGTTAGAAGTATGTGGAAAATTTATATATTTAGTTTATCGTCTAAACATTTAAAGAGGTGCTGCAATATAGGTTGTACAAAATAACCAGAAAAAGCCTGAAATAACTAGATAGAAAAGTCATATAAGAGAATTCAAACGACTCGAGAAAATGCTGTTCAAACAACAGCAACATATTGTTTTGATTTATAATATTCAACGTATTATTTAAATACGTGTAACACTTTCTTTCCTTTTGAGATAATTTCAAACATAAGGCGTAAATACAAGAAAATTTGGCTAGCTTCAGATGTGCTTAGTTGCACGGTCTTTTTCAACACCTCCTTTTTACCTAACATTTTAAAAATCAGAAAAAGAATGTACAACAAACTAGGTTAATTTTCTAAAAGTTTATTCACAAACCTAGTCCGCTCCTGAAGGTAGTATTTCAATAAAAAACGTAAAATGATTTATAACTTCTGTAATGTTGGTTGCCTATATAAAAAGAGAATATAAAAAAAAAAATCAAATCAAGTTACCCAATTTAAAATATTGACATTTCAAATCTTGACATTTAATTTATTTCGATATTTTTGAAAATTACAAATAATAAAATGAACAGTAATAGTAGTGATAATAATACATATTAAGAAAAAAACGCAAATAACATTACAGAAGACTTATTGCCTCAAACATCGGCAAAAAAATAAAAGTTACTATATTCACAATTTATGTATTGACGCCAACAACATAATGTGAACTCCTTTTCAAAAAATATTTGAATGGCTTATTTTGGGGAGCTATGAAAATCCTTTAAATCATCTACATTATAGTCAGTTTACTCGATGTTTAATAAAAAAATGGAAAATCTTAACTCTGTAGGTATGCTGCAAATTCCTAATATACGGTAGATATATACTCGTATAACAAAAAAATAAGTGAATAAATCATACATTTCGAAATTTAAATTAAATTTAGAATAAAGAAAATATGTTACAAATTTAAAAATTGAAAATAATAATCCTTTTAATATTTATAATTTTAATTCGTTAATAAAGTTCATCAAATTATTTAAAAAATGTGTAATTTGGGTTTTAGTCATTTTGGGCTTAGAAAAAGTATAGTGTGCCACTTGTGCAGAAAACCTATTCCACGCATGGAAGTGATTACTTTATGCACTTGTTGCATAATATACTATTGTATGATCGTAAAAATGACACCTTTTGTACAACATGATCAATGCTCAATTTTAGTTTAGAACCAAAGAAGCCAACGCAGTTTTTATTACTTCTACACGAGAAACACTACTGAAGCACGTAATGGGTATTTGAAAAGTATAATCAAGTTATTTCCTATGTCATAACAATCTCTTGGGGCTGAGACAGGCCAAGAAACTTCTGGGTGAATATAACCAGAAAAGATCGGAAGCCTGCATCTGCCTGAGCAAAAACAGGCTACGTATTGTAACAGGGATCCTTACCGGGCATTGCCGACTAAAAGGACATCTAAGTAAACTGAGAGTAGTAGAGGATAGTGAGTGCAGATTCTGTGAGGAGGAGGACGAAACCTCCATTCACATCCTAACTGAATGTGTAGCATTCCAGAATCCAAGGGCACTATATCTAAGAGAATATCAAATAGAAGAGGGAGATTTACGTAACTTGAAGCCACTTCAAATCCTACACTTCCTTGAGAAAATAGCATTGGAAGGGTCGCTATAGGCATTGAGACTTTTCCTTTTGTGCAGTGGCACCATAGATCTTTTAGGTCGCAGTGTATTAGTACCCCATTCTCAACATAACATAACATAACCTCGCATTTACATTATTTGGCAAATTTCCATCATATGCCATGTATAATAGTGACAACGTAATTAGAGGCAAATAAATTCCATGCTAAAATAAGACTTATTGCAAACCTGAAGTTTTGACATTAGAGTCATTGGCCTTATACATATTTCTAACCTCATTATAAAAAAAATTAAATTACCGTTTATCTTTTTTGTTGTCTATAATAGTACATAATACGGAAGAGGCATTAGACATTACAATTTTAGAAGGTATAGATAACGATAATATTAAATATTTTATATTAGTAAAATTCGAACTGATACGAATGACGGCGAGCGCACCCGAAAGCTATACATTCGCCACAATCTGCTGTCCTTAAACATCCACAAACAGGCCCAATCTATAATAAAGTAAATTCTAGAACTTACACGATCTGCGCATTCTTAGATGTCAAAATAAGAGTGGCGCTAATAGTGACTGACCTTAAATGAACTTGTAATATCTAGTAACTAATAATCAATAGGTACCGTCCCAAAATATTCAAAGGAAATTCAAATGTTCAAACTACATAGCTAATGCCTCAAAAGTGTGAAGAAGCAAATGTACAAGCTAGAGTTGATAATAGATATAGATATGGATAAGGAGAGAACGATGGACTACTCTACTAGAACAATATGCAGAACTATTTTCACGTGTGAATTTGGATTTCCTACAAGAGTACAGTTTTGGAACGTCAGATCTATTTATCACCTTCTTATAACAAATGAGAGATAATATTAATGTAATGGAGCATGATCAGGTATTTGAAACGCGAAATAGCCTGTTTTTTTTTGTTGAGAATTTTTCCCAGGTGTCGAATGAACACGATTCTGATTTTTTTTTGGGTCATTACTGTACATGTAAATCTGGCACTAGGACCATGGGATCATGTGTCCATATTAGGACTTTTATTTGGTATTTGGGAAACGCTATATATACACCAGAAAAAAGTTATATACCCATAAATATTGATGCTATAACATATCCAGAATGCTACAAACGTACATATTTAAACATTCATAGGTTTTTCTGATAATTGTTTCCATTTTATCCTATCTTGATAGTGACTAAACTTAAATTTAGTATAACAGTTGTAAGAAGCTTGTTTTGTATGTTTATTTGGTGCTATTTTTTATTAAATCTATCACAAGTTATTGATTAGCAGAAGTTACTGTATGAGCGTCTTTAGAACATGCCCCCATTTATTTATTACCGAATTTATTCAATTTGGCTCTTTCACACTGCATAATTATTTTGTTTTTAGATTTGTGGCAACTAAAATTCAATCAATATGAAAAGAGATTCGACTCTTTGGAACAGATGGAAGTAAATGAGAGCTTAAGACCAGAACCGCTCATGAATTCTGAAGTATTGGGCTATTATGGTAATTTCAAAAAACTCGATGTAGACTGACATTGATTTTTTTGTAATAATTGTGATTTGGAAATATATTTTTTTGCTTTATTAAATGTATGGTGATATAAAATACACAATTAAAGAAATAGAAAAATTAGTTTTACTCAACATGTATACATTTTATTACTTTTAAAAATTAAATAGTGTAACTGGGATAATGTACTCAACCAACATGACAATTTTTATTCATTACATACTTAATAACATATTTGACGAATGTATACCAAAATTTAAGAATAATATATAGTAATAGATCCACCTTGTAAAGGATAGAACTATTCTTATATTTTACGAGCAATAAGGGTTGTGGCTCCAGTGGCGTACCCACGGGGGAGATAATAGTGGTATATCCCCCCATGAAGTCTCAGCACGTCCCCAAGCTCAAACACTTTATCAAAGTGATAAGTGATCAGAAGAAAAAATAAGAGTAAGAGATCTCTAAATTGCTTTATAACAATAACTAAATCAAACATGTGTTCAAAGTAACTAAATAAATAAAAAGTTAAATTGTTTCAAAATTGTTGTGAGGAGTTTTCGCGGCACTTTAAAAACCAGTTTTCTGCTTGTATCATCGTCTATGATATAATTCATCGATCAGTAATAAAATATGGTATCAGCTCCTGGTCTAGGCGACTAGATTTTGTTATATAAAATAGAATATTCAAATTTACAATAAAAATTTATTCCATGTTTAATTCTGTTATCTCCCCAAGATCCTTATGTGGGTACGCCACTGTGTGGCTCCAATGGCTTTCTGCTGCTCTATACCTCCAACTTTTGAGTTTCGATATCTCCTATTCTCCTTCCTGCTGCTGTAACTCTTGCCTTTTATATACCTCTTGTTCTTTTGCTCTAACTCCTGTTTGCTTATCTTTACCACTGTTTCAGAATATCCAGTTTTTTTATTTCATCTTCTTTTCAGCTGTCTCCTGTTTTACTTTACTTCTTCACTGTCTGGTTTTTTTTCTCTGCTTTTTTCTATAACAATCTTTATTTTTTTAGTTAAAAACTTTCTTTGTAACTTTTATTTATTTTTTATAACTTTATTCAACTTCTTCCTATACTATACAACTTTTCCATTTTTAAAACTTACAACATAAAATTTTTCTCAAATTAATATCTATTGACAATCAAAAGTACAATGAGAATTCTAAAAATTTCATGACAATCGCCAATTTTTCCAAATCTCGTTACCATTGACATCAGAACCCTAAGGTCGTTTCGAATATCTTATAGACGCTGAGAACCACTGATCTGTATTATTTTACTGGGTAGGATATAGGCTCATACTTTGATTACTATACGGGGCAAGAGAGAGGTCCGACACGCCCAACATAGGGCGCGGCCATTTTGAACCCTATGACACAGTTTATAGCTAAAGAATCAGATCGCTCACTCTGCGTTGGCACTTTTTATCTCAATGTTCCAGTTTATACACTGCGCAACTCAGATAATACAATATATGACAACAGCCTATAATAAAACAGCAGTCTTCTGCGTATCCTGAATTTGTATCCCTGGAGTGGATGTTATTTTGGAACTTTCAACTGGTCCGAGTGAGCTAACTGATTCTTTAGCAATAAACTGTGACTCCAAAAATAATATTCACTGACACTGACAGCAGCAAGCAAAATGTCAGGTGCGTTTTAATCATCCGCTTCTGCTTCCGGAATTGTCGGTTCAGTCGTTCTAACCTGTCAGATTAAAACAAGAAAACCGACAATTCCGAAGCAGAAGCGGATGATTAAAACGCACCTATTAAAAATATTGCGCCAAGATGTAGGCAACACGTAATAAGGGTTTAAAATGGCAGAGTTTTTTATCTCCTTTTAAAAGGCACTCAGAAAGCTGCGCAGTGCGACCATTCTCCGTATAGTAAAAGAAAATCAAAGTATGTGGATATAGGCCAATATGGGAAATATATGTTAAAATTAGTTTTAAGAACTTTTAACATTCAAATAAACAAAAACAATTTATAAATCTATTATTAAAATCCGCATTGGAACAAAACATGTAAAATTGTTGAACTTGAAAGATATTCTAAAAAGGGAAAGGACTTCGGTCGAGAGCCTATTGGACTGAATATTCATTTCAATCAATGACAATTATTAATATTACTATTCTTAAATATTTTGTTGTTTAATTTGCTCGTAAATTTATGTGTGAATATATTTATAAATAACACTGGTCAACAGTGATTTTGTGGACGGGGTTTAAGAGTGTTTTTGGGCGATCGTTTTACCGATTTCAAATCGCTTCTCCAGCCTATAAATCTTCTATTGTTTCAAAAAGAATAAAATAATGTAGTTCTGTCTAAAACTAAAATAATTATTTCCAAACTTTTCCTTAACGCCTTAGTTGTAAGTTTTATTGTACATTTTTTTTAATTTGCTATTTCTGTGGAATCATTAATTTTCATTTGCGTTATTGTTCTTCTAAAAAAGCGAAATGTGACTCACGTTTTGCTTGATTGGCTTTAATTTTTGAGATAGTCAACCAGCCGAAATAAAAAAAATTCTACTAGGGTCGGTAAGCAAACGTATAAACAGAATGGGTGGATTTTGTTCATACTTAACATTACACTCGCGCACTGACACAACCTGGATTAAATATAACTATAAATACAAATATTTACAAACAAATATGCTTTTCCAAACAGTGATAAATTATAAAAAAAAAATGTTTTTTATAAAATTTTCTATGTTCAAAGTTAGGACTTTATAATTATTGTGTCGTTCGTAGAATTCTGTACTAAATAAGTTGTTGAACCTTGTAACATTGCATAATGAAATATAAAGACTAACACTTGTAGGTCTATCGATTTCGTCTTGCTATTGAAAACTTCCTTTCAAGGTGATTTATTTCAACACTCAGAGCCAGCCGAGAGCACATTTTTTCTTATATTCATGATCAACAGCCAAGATACATTTGGAAGTCGCTAATATATCCCTGTGACTATTTTTTTTAATTTGTTTTCCAGTGTTGTGGATTGATTTTTTCCTGATTAGTGATTTTCTTGTTCCTTAACTCAATATCTTGCAAACTGTTGATAGCTTTGATGAAAGTTTGTAGCAAAGCTTGTTCAAATTTTGAAAACTATAAAAATATTCAGCTATTTTTATGGTTATAAACTTTTCCAACACTTAGTACAATTAGAGGTACTTAGATAACATGCAACATTTTCAGAAGATTATTCCTTTTTTGTATTCTACTTGGAACTTTTCAATTTATTTAAAACATTGGACATTGTTATCAGTTGTTATTGTTTATATATTTTGACATAACCGCACATAACCAAAATATTGACCAAAGTCCTTGACCACTTTTTATCACCTTAATCCAAAAATTGTATTTGTACGGTTTTGTCAACTGGAATAAATTTTTATTATTATGTTTAATTTTTCATGTCTTTTATGGTGAATTAGTATTTTTAAATAAATAAAGATGTTTTTAACTATAATAGGTAGGTGATAGGGGCCATGTGCCTGAACGAAAGAAGACGTAGATGGCGTATCTGCATAGCAGTAAAAATTGACTACTTCATTAAATCGTCACTAGATGCCGCTCGAGATTGCATCCAACACTTTTTACTGTTGCATTATCCTACTATATTATCTTCATACAACGATAATACTATCCGATACTACCTACGTAAATAGCAGATAAAGGATCAGTTCTAAAGTATCTATAGTGGAAAGGAAAATTCTTAAAACTGCACTAGGGATTTTTTTATCATCTATGGGGATATTGATAATAGAAATAACAGCTTCTGATACCTAGATGGTCGAATCACTTTAGGAACAAGTATGAAAAGAGAACCAGTGAGTTTGCCATTGTTACAATAAAACTAGGAAGAATATGGTCATAAATATGGTTAAAAAATGTAGAAGATCTAAACAATAACTGTGAAAATATTTTTCTCATAGAACAATATGGATACATGCAACTAAAACGATTAGAATTGGTACTGATCTAGTGGTGCTTCCAGACATATTAAGAATTTTGCTAGATAATGTAGGTAGGTAGTTTATAATTGCCAAGTTAATTTTAATAATATAGATGTTGTAATATATTTTTAATTACCTACACTTGTCTAGGAAAGCTAACAAAATTTATTGATTATTACCACTGTTTGAAATTTTAATTAACATTTTTAACTCTTCCAGGTTAATTGTTTTGTTGTTTCTCTAACCATTTTTACACTATACAAACCAAATTGAAATTTGTGCAACTCATAAATATATATACATTCAAAAATTGCTAAAAAAATTTACTTTTAACAATCTTTACAATCGTACGATTCGAGAAAAATATTGTTAAATTTTGTGTAGCCCGTTCGAATGTAATTTACAATTAAATAAAGAACAAATTTAAATGCTTTATATAATTTTTACAATCACGCAAATATTGATTTATATATACAGGGTGTTAAAAAAAAAGTGTCACAAAATAAAACGAGGGGTATTATGGGCCAAAATATGCAGAAAAGTCTTAATAAACATATGTCCGCAAATGAATGGTTTCAGAGATACGGAGTGTTTTGTGTTTTTTATCATTTTTTGATTATCTTTTTTTATTCTCAAAAACTTGCTTTTCATATCGGAGTCTAATGATGTTTTTTCATAGATACTATTTACAGTTATTATTTTGTTGTGGGTGAATAATTTTATAAATTTTCGTTATGCCTGTTTACACTAATATTGAATTAGCTGACATGCATTTTATGTACGGTCGTGCAAATGGCAATGCATTGAAATGGAGGGAGGGCACTTTGAACATCTCATTTAACTCTATGTTGTTATTGATTGTTTATAAATATCATTGTTTTTTTATAGTAATAAAAAATTGTTATAAACACAAAATGGTCCGTAACTCCGAAACCGTTAATTTGCGGTCATATATTTATTAAGACTTTTCTACTTATTTTGGGTCATACTATTCACCATTTCATTTTGTGACACTTTTTTTTAACACCCTGTATATATTAAATGAGATCATAACCATTACTAAAATAAGTAAGTTGTTAGGTATAAAACAATATTTCCTATAATATTAACACTCCACTAAACCCCCAGTAGGCGAAGATA